AGCAGTCTAAGCCTATAGCAGCATAACTATAGAGATAGCTCAGGATAACCTGAGCCACTTATCAGCAAGTTTTAAGCCTAGCCTTAAAAGTAGACAGGATGTCCGCCCCCCTCTTATTTATCAGCATCTTTATTCTAAGTGCAGCAAATTAGGCCCAAATGATTCAAAGCACATTTGTTCCAATGAGGGTAATTGTGTCAGGCAGCATTCTTATTTTAGCACAATTAGCCAAATGTGCTAATTGTGCCTGCTGGTCTTTCAGCTCCTAAAAGGGAATCTTGTAAAAACAAAGTTCTGATTTCTATTGTATTTTATTCTACATTTTCATCGACTGTGTCTGCAGCAGTCTTTAAAGCAAATTTTATGCAAAGTATGAAAGTTTTAAAGCTGACTATTTAGGAACAGAAATGTCATCACCAGAAAGCGTTGTAAAAAGATTAATAAACAAGGTGTGACTCTCTAGTTTCTAAGGAAAGCAGCCATAAGTGGCGGGGCTACAGCAGATCTACGTCCTGAAACCTTTTTCTGGAAAAATCTGCACTGTTTGATAGACCCTTAAACTGCATCCTCTAATTAAAATGCTCTAAAACTAAAAGATTTAATTTTTCTTTATTCTCAAAATAGAAAAATAAAAAAGTCTCCAACCTAGCCCCAATACTGCCCAGCTAATCATCCCTGTGTCTGCATTCAGGTAGTGGTAGCCACTGTGGCGTTCGGCATGGGCATCGACAAACCAGACGTCAGGTTTGTCATTCACCATACCATCAGCAAGTCCATCGAGAACTACTACCAAGAGAGCGGGCGCGCAGGTACACGCATGTTCCTGATAAACAGCGGTGTCAGTTCCAGTCATTTCTTACAAACGCACACGATTCCTTTTTGAGTTCTCAGGTCGAGACGATCATCCAGCGGACTGCATCGTGTATTTTGGCTTTGCTGATATCTTTAGGATCAGCACCATGGTGGTCATGGAGAATGTGGGCCACAAGAAGCTGCTGCAAATGGTGGCTTATTGCCAGAATGTGGACAGGTAACCCCAGCATGATTAGACTGGTTTACACAAGAGTTGGTCCTGAAAGCATCTGACTGTTTACTCTGCGCAGGTGTCGGCGCTCTCTCATGGCGGTTCACTTTGATGAGGTGTGGGACGATGAAGGATGTAACCAAATGTGTGATACATGCCGCTCTTCTAAAGGTCAGTTCAGCTTTATGCATGAGGTGATTGTTTAACCCTTTAAGCCTGGTGGGCCCCCGTACAGATGCACATATTAATCTGTTTATAGAAATGGTCAAAACAGTCACATGGTGTTTCATCCACACACGTTTCAGATGGGGCCTTCAAATTTCTAAAGCATGTTTCAAAATAAATTTTTCCACAGATACTCGGTGGAAGAATGCATTTTTGCACCTTTGGCATTGTTTTAAAATCCCATTTCCACACTGCCCACTAAAACCTTGCTTCAGCTTGTTCAGTCCAAATTTGGTTGAGTTATAGTCAAGATGTGGATCCATCAAGTCTGAGGATTCATCCAGAGTTTCAAATGGGGTTTCATGATGTTTTGCAGTGTTTAAACAAAGAAAAAATTAAAAAAATATTTAGCCTTGCCTAAAGTTTTTTCTTTTTTCTTTGTTTAATCACCTATAATTCAGACATTGTGACTTTTAAAATAGTGGTTCCACCTGAGCAATATTCCTCAATGCCTTTCTGTCATACAAATACAAACAATTGTATTTCCAATGTATAGTTTGGGAGCTGTGCGTGCTTTCACATATTCACATAAGTTATTTTAGGCAGAATTTGGTTTGAAAACCCTTTGGGTTTAAGAGGTTAAAATCCGATCATCAACTCTGTTCTACCCCTCAGGCTACGCCAGCATGGACATAACTTGCCACGCAAAACAAGTAGTGCAAATCATTGAGCAGGCAGGGTCCATGGATGAAAAAGTGACTCCCCTGAAACTGGTGGAGACGTGGATGGGACGGGGTCCCGCCAAGCTGAGGAAGATGATCCAGACCACCAATCTGCCTCGGCTGCAGGCTGAAGCTGTAATCGTCTCTCTGCTTCTGCAGGAATACCTCCGGTAACTCCTTCAGATGCACTGTTTCATTCCTCATCTTTTTGATTTGCTAGGTTATTTATTCATTTTTAAAAATTATTATTAGAACAGAACCAGCTTAGGTGGATATTTGGCTCAAAGCTTAACCCGGGCGTACACTGTGTGATATTCTCAATCATTGCACGCAGCTACAGCTCACACTTTACCATGAAACCGCAGGCTTTAAAAGTTCACAGCTCATGATGTTTGTTCTCACACTGTGCGACCCGATACTCTGATACGATCCACCTGCTCACACTGCAAGTCCAAAAAAACCACACGTCAGGCTGAGAGATGGCGCTGGTCCTTACTTTTCTTGTGGAGTAACTCAGTTGAAACTCAGTTACTTTTTGGGAGAAGTAACTAGTAACTATAACTAATTACTTTTTCAAAGCAACGTGCCGAACACTGGTTACCACCTGTACACGACGCAGGACGAACCATGAGGCGGAAACTCAACTGGATAGAAAAATATCTCACCCGACTGGAGAATCAGCCCTAACTGGGCAAAAATTTGTACAGTGTATGCCCAGCTTAGCAGTGATTTTCCCGTGTTTAGCTTAGGTTCAGTAAAAAGATATTAAATAAGTCTCATTAGTACATTTTTGTATGTTGGGAGGGAGTGAAGCAACTAAAAATGTCAAATGTTAACACTCTATGATACGCAAAATAATGCCAGTTGATTAAAAAAAAACTATTTGGGATGGGTTTTTTGACATAAATAGACCAAGTAAACATAATCAAATGTAATTTTTTCTATTTTATGTTGACGTTGCCATTTGCTAACATTTTACGATATTGGTAAGAGTAAAATAGCAGAGTTAATAACATTAGCACTTAACAATTGATTCAATGGATTTGAGTTTCTTGATGCTGCTGTCTGTACCTTGCTCCATTTGGAAACTGATGAAACTGATGAAGCCGTTCCTCTCAGATGTGAGGGACACCCAGATATTCCACTTTTTGGGATACTGCAGTCCCTTTTATAAATAATAGTTGCACTTTCACCCGCAGTGAAACTATATAGTAGTTAACTGAAGGTAATAAAAAATCTCTAACCCAGCCCTAATACTCTGTCGTGTTTTTAAATGGGGATGCTCCCATCCATATTTTCCCTCATTGACCACTCATTGACTCAAAGGTAAACACCAAGCATGCTTGTGGCGACAGTGGAGAGGAAAACTCCCTTTTAGTTATAGTCAGAAAGATTATGTTTAATACAGAGCAAAAATGTTTAATGCAAGCAAAATGCTAGAAAACTGGAGAGAAAATGGCGCCCCACATGCCTACTGGAGTCCTACCTAGTCTTGAAAAACAGTTTACTGCTGTATAGGATAACCCTTTATAGAATATTTCTCCTCATTGATAGAGGAGAATAAGAATAATCCTAGATTTCTCTTTAATCCAGTTGCCAAACTCACCCAGAGCCATAGCTCTGTTGAACTAACTGTATTAAAAATAAAATCATTAGCACCCCTTTAACTATGATTGGTTTATCTCTAGAAGGGGAGGCAGTATCTGAGGTAGCCATGGAATCTGAACCGGGTTTAGACTGCTTTGATCCAGTTGAACTTTCAGAGTTAGCAAAAACTATTGTCTTCATCTAAGCCTTCAACTTGGATGTTAGATCCAGTTCCAACCAGGTTATTTAAGCAGGTATTCCCTTTGATCTCCGAAGCTGAATTCAACTGGAAACGTTTTGGTTTAATTTATGGGAATCACTGAAATGCTAAAATTGTCTTAGTCTTAAACCAGTTCAACCAAAACTGTACCAGTTGAACTCTTTTCCCCTCTTTGAACCATACATGAACGGCTTAGATTTCTTGTTTTCTACCTTAATGTGCCCTTATATCATTCAATTGTCCAGTAGGCAAAAATGCTTCTGACTATAACTAAACGTCCAGCTTTGTTTGGTTTCTGTGTTGTATTTAGAGAGGATTACAGCTTCACTCCATACACCACTTACTTCTATGTGAAGCTCGGTCGCAAAGCTCCTCTGCTGAAGAAGGAGACTCACTCAGTCAGCATGAACATGAAGACAGCAGGAGACGGACCCTCTGTGGTGAGTGTTCTAACTTCTAACAGGATCGAATTTTGCATTATAGGAGTTTCAGAACAAGGTCTTTCAGGTCAGCTGCTTACCTCTCAAGTATAAAGTATTTTAAATACTCTCACTGTCTCCTCAGGTCTTAATGCTGAATATTTTGTGGGGTCTCCACAGCCACCAGATTTGCAGCTGGTGGCATAACTTCATGTTTAGTTCAGTAGAAACGAATAAAGAATATGGCGAGTCTTGTTCCTAAAATCGATTTCTGTTAAAAAGTGAAATCCTTTTTCTAGACATTAGATGGAAATCACTGAAGCCTATGAAAATATTATCTGCTGCAGATAAGACATTAATATTATCCCTGTACTGATATTTTATTGTGTTATTTTTAAAAACCCACAAAATATGTACAAAATTCTATATAACTCAGAAAGCGCAGACCTCTGAGTAAACAGTAAACGGACCGAGCAGATTTAGTCTTATATTATTGATGTGTTTTAGCTACACCTATAGCTAAAAGTCGTACGTCTGGATCGGGGCTTTTGGAGTCCAATGCTGAAGCTGTCAGTAGTCACTGCTGGTTTAGGGGGGATCTTTAGGTTACTTTCATAACCCCTGTTCTCTGAGTAGCATGAGTGAGTGTCTCACATTGGAAACGCCCTCAGGGTGACGTCATCAGAAGGTCCTTTTACCTTACGCCAACCAGGATTGGCTGGAAAATAAGCCTGTTTGTGTCAGAGAGGGCAGGGTCCCTCCCCCTATATATAGGGCTGACACTGCACTGACAGTTGTTCAAAAAACGATCACCCCTTCCTCGCAACTTTAGAGCAAGGAGCCCATAAGCTCATAGAGCCAGTCTTTCAGGGTGGGGATGAAAATTCTGTCCTTGTTCCTGAGAGCAACCGCGGCTCCTGCCAGAGGAGCTGTGTTATCTCTGCTAACCAATGTTTCACTGGCCGATTGGGTGCAACGAGGATCATTGTCAGACCCTCTGCTCGTACCGTGGCTAGTGCAGGTGAATGGAGAGGTATTGGGGGGGGAGCAAAAAACAGAATGATTGATTCTGATCATCCAGGGAGAAGAACAGGGGACACTAATTGTTCTCTTGAGAAGCAAAAAGGTCCATGGATGGCTGACCAAACGGCTATCAGACCATCCTTGCCACTATGTTTACATGGGAGTCCCCCAGGAGGAAAGATCTGCTCCACAGTTCAACACTCCCTGGACAACGGAGGCCCTCAAAGACTGAAAATGTCTTGGTTTGTGAGCCAGTGTGTGGAGCCTCAGTGATCTCAGACAACCCCCCCCACACCTGTTGATATAAGCCACCACTGTTGTGTTGCCTTTTCTGATTAGCACATGGTGAGCTCTCAGAATGCGGAGAAAATGCTTTAACACTACCTGAACAGCCTTTAGCTCCAAGTAATTTATGTGCTCGGACTGCATTTTTGGTCCCTAGGTTCCATTCATCATTTGCTGTTTGCATATACTCCCCCAGCCTGACAGAGAGGCATCTGTTGTGACAACCTTTCTGTTCTGCACGACTCCCATTGGGACACCCTGTGTCAGTATATGTTTGTTCCGCCATGGACGCAGTGCTGCTGTGCAGGCAGCAGTTAGTCTCAGCAGGTGATGAGGAGTATGTGGCTTTAACCTCTAAGAGGCTACACATCGTTGGATTCCTCTCATGTGGAGACGTCCCAGATGGATTAACACTAATGCTCAGGCCATCAGTCCCAACAGCCTTCAGCAGAGTCTGAATGATAACAGGTTCCCTCTTTGAAAAATGGACAAGCAGTTGACCATTGCTTTCACTCTGTCCTCCATAATTCTTACTTTGTCATAGATTGAGTCCAGAGAGACCTATAAAAGATATTCTCTGAGAGGGAAACGGGGAACCCTTTTCCAGGTTTATTTTGAAGCCCAGATCCATAGAGTGCTGTGTAGCTGTGTGATGTGTGGCTTCCTGTTGGGAGGACGATGCGTTCAGATCATCTATATACTTTGCTACATGTGTCCCCACCCTGAGCCATTTTCTTAGATGCTTGTTCAGCGCTCTGAGGTCTAGAATTGCACGCATCCCTTGACCGGCTTTCTTTGGCAAAAGGAATTAACATGAAACCTTTGCTGCTGTGTTCTGGTTGAATCAGCTGTATCTCTTTTTTTCCAACAACGAGGAAATTTCGTCCTGCAGGAAGAGAGTGACTTGTCCTTCTGCATGTGACTGATGTTTTTTCTCTGAAGCTTGAGGGAACTGCAGTGAACTACAGTCTGTGACCCCTCCTGAGAGTTCTTAAAACCCACTCTGAGTCTGTGCATTTCAACCAAAAGTGGATTTTCACAATCAGCTGGCTGGCTGTTAAGTCTGACAGCGAATTGACAGCGGGTTTTGTTTTTCAACATTTTTGACTGCGCCCTTGGTTCTCGACCTGGATGCGACTGTCTGGAAGCATTTATTTCTTCTGAACAAAAAGAAGTGCTTGTGACACATGATCAGGGTTAGCTCTGGATATCCCCGCATTGAACAGTCTTTCAACTTTTTGGCATGCTGAGAAGGCTGAAACATCCTTTTGACCACACACTGTGTTTGGGGAACTCTCTGAACAGATTCAGGATCGGAACAATGGAGGAGAGCAATCCCAGCTCGCTCCCTCCACCCCAGGAAGGTGTTAGGCCAGTTGCTTCCTCCTCCTCACCACCACTTGTATATGGGGGGTGGTGGAACAGTGCGAGGGCCTTCAAGTTTTTTTTTTGTTGTTTTTTTTTTTGGGAGGGAAGCGAGCTGCTGCCTGGGCAAGGGGCTGGTGCTGGGTTCCTTGGTTCGCAGTTCCAGCGGCAAACTAAAGTCTGGAAAGGCATGGCTTTAGGGCTTCATCACCCTTTTCTTCTCCTGCTCCCTCTTTTGCATGGAGTTTATCGCATCCCTGAACAGTCCTTGAGGGATATGGGTGTTCCAGGAGGTCCTACTTCCCCTTAGTTGCCAGAGTGGTGAGATTTAACCACCTGGCTCTCATCTGCCAAACCATGAGACCAATGGATCCGCCCATCGATTGGATCGCAACCTTATGGAGATGCAGGCAATGATCGGTAATGACGCACACCTCCTCCCACAGCGCAACATCTGATGCGGCAGTTATTTGCTCTTCCAGCTCTGCTTGATAGGCCATCAGCATAAACAAGGCCTTTAGAGTGCAGACTGAGAGCCCGGCTGTTCTGGTAACAGTCAGACTTGACTGAAAGTGGTCTGCTCTTGATGGAAGGGTGGGACCTTCCACTGACATGGAGGTCTTCGGGAGCAGGTGTGTTGCGACGACCGACTTGACAGGTGGCGTTTATTGGAGGCCACAATATTCCATCCCATCGCAATCCAGGACCGAACTGCCAACCACTGGGTGCTTCTCCTTAAATTACCTGTTACGCCAGGAGACGGCCAATTCTTCCAGGATCTCTGGGGAAATCGGTAGGCGCTGTCTGAATGTCTTGCAGGTCTGCAGCAGCCATTCCATCAAAATGGGACCGGGTAGCTTTAGTCTGGACCTCGGACAACTTGATGTCAAGCTTTGCAGCAGCACGTTTGCACACGTCATGCAAGTCGCTAGCTCCGACGCTGGCCCTTCATGATCAGGTCAGCCCGAACACAAGGGAACAGGTTTTGCCATCCGAACCAAGGGCGCACAAACTGGGCTATAGTCCTCGTTATTGTCTGAGATGGGTAGATCCAACTCCAAGTTGGAGAGCTCCTATTCCCCTCAAGCAGCAAATTCAGCTGGCTCGAAATGAGACTGAGCTCGGGCATTTCACGTAGTAACTGGTCCATGGTATCGAGGATTTATCCCAAGCTTTGTCTGGCTTCTCCATCAGTGGATAAAGGGACAGCCTAGTTGGCTGGCTTCTGTGAATGCCGTAGAAACCATCACCAGGTCGCTACCTGACAACCTCAATTGACGAGCCAGACGGCAACAAAGCACCTTCAGGGAAAACCAAGCAGTGTGAGCACTACTTCGCAGACTCAAGAGCCTGGGTGTGTTTCAGACCAAGACATACTTCACACGATGGCTGGGTATCCCAGCCTGAAATTTTATTGCCACAAGGGCAGGTTCGTTCCTTTGGGCTCACCTCTACTTTTGCAGAGGATTTAACAGTCTCCATTTTTTTTTCAGTGAGATTTGCTGGGAGGCTTCATGAAAATTAGCTTGTTACAGCTAAGCTAACCATGTGTTGGGGACAGCGTTTCGGCCACCTGGGGTGTAGGTTGGGAGTATTGCTATTCTGTGTTGACCAACGTACAACCGCAAAGTGCCCTGCGACCGAGCTTGCGCGCGCATCTATAGATAGTTAAGGTAGACTCCAAGAAAGACGGTATCAGTCATGTTTCATCAGGGTGAACAGCAGGGGGCTCAGGACGCAGTCCTGAGGGGAGCCTGTGCTTATACTGATGACATCAGAGGTGTTCTGTCTGACCTGGGCTGACTGAGGTCTGTTTGTGAGGAAGTCTAGCAGCCAATAGCAGAGGGGTGTATTGAAGCCCAGCTGTTCCAGTTTGCCCATCAGATGCTGTGGGATGATGGTGTTGAAAGCTGAACTGAAGTCCAGGAACAGCATCCGCACGTGGATGTTCTTCTCCTCCAGGTGTGCCATCCTCAGGTGGATATAGGGGGATAGACCCTGCCCTCTCTGACACTGACAGGCTTATTTTCCCGCCAATCATGGCTGGCGTAATGTAAAAGGATAATCTCATGAGGTCCTCTGAAGGCATTCCCAATGTGAGACACGAAACTAATGCTATGAAAGAGAACTGCTTGTTTCATCCATCAATCAAACAATGTTAAAGAATCCTTTAAAATAAATCCTGCATCCGATTATGATCTAGATCATCACCAAAGTTTAATGGATTGTTGACCAACAAGAAAAAAGATTTGAGGCAGTGCAGCTGAGGCTCTACAGAGATGTATCAACAGAAAAACCGCTGGTTTGACTGGAGTCAGAAGCGTAGTTTAGAGTCTGTATTGATTTAAATGTTTGAATCCCACTTCCATCTTTGATCTGTTTTATGTGAGATCTAACTAGTTTCTTCTTTCACTTGCTATGTGTCTAGTTTGCCATTAGAAATAGTTTCTTCACATTTAACAAAACAAAATATAAACAGGTGAGAATTGTTTTTTTTTCTTTTGAAATATGCCTTCTCGTAGTGTTAACCCTGCTTCTCATTACGTTTTGTTCACCATCTAGCAAAAGAAATTTGATAATCTCATAAACGTTTCATAAACGTCTTTAATTAATTATATAGCTTAGTTTGGGCACTTCTTGACTGCTAGTAAGAGAGCAAATAAGTCATTCACATTTATTAATTGTGTAACGTTAATCTCCAATCCTGCAACATATCATCTGATCCCAGTAATAACCAGTTATAGTTTTAGTTCATGCATTCCTCCAAAGGTTTTGACACACTGATACTATTATCCCATTTTTGCACACACCACAAAATGCAAACATTCAGTTTGACACTAATGAATGAAAAACAGTGCAAATTTTTTTTTCAGGTATTTAAATGTAACGCACATGGCCGTTTTTGTAACAGATTAACTAATATTTTGTGAAAACAAATTAGAAAATAAGTAATTGAAATAATTTTAAAAATAGTCAACAGGCTGTTTATAGAAAATGAACTTCTCACAATAATATTTTAAAGTTGTTGGGTAATTTTTAATAATTAGGAATGTCATAAACGGGACAGATGGACCCAGTATTTGAGGTGAGAAAGGCAGTGGGACATTTCAAAGCGAACAGAAACATAAGCACAATAAGAACAAACAGGAAACAAACAGAAAACAATGATCTGGCCCCAATAGCTGGGCTGAGCCACATACTGTATATAAAGCAGAAAGACCAGGTGAATGAGATGAGTGGTGATTAGGAACTGTCGCACTGGGCCAAACATTCAGGAATTTACAGCTGCTGTTTGTACCACCTGGAAGTGAATATAAAACATTTTTTTAGATCATAAAACTGCAAGAGCCAGAATATCAATCGAGTATGTTGGCTGTTTTGACAGTTTATCTTAATGTAGGTATCAATTGAATTATCAGACCTGAGAGACCCATGATGGGTGGATCATTGATTTGGATCTCATTCTATTTACTTTTTTTTAAATTTCTTGAAATGGAAGATGATTGCTGGTGGTTTACTTCCACCATTGGTTGCTACAGAGCCAGCTGACATTGGCTGTTGTGCAAATGGAAAAACAACAGGTGGAAATGATCAGTAATTAGCTAGACACGTTCAATAAAGGATGGATCTGCAGGTGGGGACCACAAACTACTTCTCAGTACCTATGCTGTCTGGCTTACGTTTTGGTCACTTTTGAATGTTGGTGGTGCTTTCACATTCATGGTAGCATGAGACAGACTCTACAACCCGCACAAGTGCCTCAGGTAGTGCAGCTCATCCAGGATGGCAGATCAAGGTGAAAGTTTGCTGTGTCTGTCAGCACAGTGTCTAGAGGCTGGACGTGCTAACGGTAGACAGGCCAGTACAGCAGGATACGTGGAGGACGCATAGGAGTGCGACAACCCAGCAGCCAGACCGCTACCTTTGACTTTGGGCAAGGAGGAGCACTGCCAGAGACCTGCAAAATGACCTCCAGTAACCAACACATGTACATACGTCTGCACAAACATTTAAAAACCGACTCCATGAGGATGGTGTGAGGCCCGATGTCCACAGATGGGGTTATGCTCACAGGCCAACACCATGTTGGAAGCTGGGCATAATCCTGTGCTCTTCACACTCAGCCGTGAACCACCCTAGTGCATGGTGTAGGTCTTGGCAGGAGGGAGCCAGCAGAACTGCTCCAGACGACCTTTGAATGTGGTGACGTCATCAGTACGCTTCTGTCCCAATTGACCCAGATTTATTCTGCATGCTCCCATTCTCCCAGAGTCCAGACTTTCCTGGGTCCTTCTCAAGAACATACTTGTCGAGGACACGAGTCCGTACTCGCGTTCTTGTGAATTGAGAAACGACCTACGAGAAGCTCTCCCAGAGATGGAAGTTGGAAACGTCCCATCTCCTATTTCAGCAGAATTCTGATTCAATATATAACTCACAGGTTAAAAATGAATCTGTTATTTTCATCGCTAGTGTTGTCGATTATTGTTCTGAGTAAAATCCCCTTATCAGGTCTTTTTAAATATTCCACACTACAAAATAAGTAATAAAAAAGTATGATGATTCATGTTGATGTCATATCCTGTCAGTGTTGTGATTGATCAATATTTAAAGCTACAATATATCGGAAATATCATAGGAGAAATTAAAGAGTTGCTTTTGGTCCATTCCTAGTAGAAATAATGATTTGTTGAATGTGTACGGAAGAATGTTTGGGTCATGTTTGACTATAAATTGGTTCTGCAACACAGACTATATAAGAAAAATATCTGGAACGTTCTCTGTTCTTTGGTAATCCCTGGATTAAATGGATTAAGATCTAATAGAGGAGAAACCAGATATTAACATAAATAATTTCCCTCATTAACTTCTTTCAGGTCATCAGGGTCATGTTCTTTATGCTTCTGTATGAACATTGAATGTAAGAATGTTGTCATGGTCCCATGTCCCAGACTGTAGTGCTCCATTGGTTCTCCCTCCCTAGATTTGGACTGTCAGAGATAAAGACTGTTGTTAATGACTTGCAGGTAAAAGCTGAAACTGGCAAGGGAAAATCCAAAGAGGGAAAGAGATCAGTTCAAAGCTCCGGAGACTCCCATGTGGCCAAGAAAGTCAAGACAGAGCTTTCCTAGCCCCCCTCACCCAGCTCAGAAGACAAGTCTACAAAGTACAGTCCACCATTTTTTACTCTGTTCACCTCTGCTTCTGCTGACAACCCCTAATGTTTTGCGTGATGTTTTAAACTGTATGAAGGTTTGGTATTAAGGTTCTTCTTGATTCATGGTCACAAGTTTCCTGAAGTTTAAGTTGATAAATGTTACATCAGGTGATCATTGTCTCCAACATTGAATCATAAAACCATGCCATATTTTCTGCCTGCGTCTGCCTGGCTGTGTGTTTCCTGGACGGGGCCGCCTTTTACAGTTGCCTTTTTTAT